GTCCCTGCCTCCCCCAGCCAGGGCAGCATTCCACCTTCCTTTGTTCCTCTCCATGGGGGGTGTCTGGCCATACTGGTTGAGAGATCCCTTTGCATAGTGACTCATCCTGTTTTGCTGGGTCGTGGTACCCACGGCAGCCAGTGGGGGTTACCCCAGAGCCAGCAGCATAGAAACCAGCCAGGTACCCCCACTACGTCACAGCTTCTGCCTCCCCCAGCCAGGGCAGCATTCCACCTTCCTTTGTTCCTCTCCATGGGGGGTGTCTGGCCATACTGGTTGAGAGATCCCTTTGCATAGTGACTCATCCTGTTTTGCTGGGTCGTGGTACCCACGGCAGCCAGTGGGGGTTACCCCAGAGCCAGCAGCATAGAAACCAGCCAGGTACCCCCACTACGTCACAGCTTCTGCCTTCCACTTTGCGGGGCTGGAGTCTGTGCTCTGTCCCCAGACTCTGAAGCCGCAACTCAGCCATGCAGTGCATCACAGCGCCCAGTAAGTTTAAAATCCCGGGCTGTGACTTTATGTCATGTCTGGGCATCTCTCCACCCGCTGGTTTGAGCGCGCTGCACAGGGCAGCATCAGCCAGCCAGGGGGAGCTCAGGGAAGGTCGTGCACAGCAGGGACGGGGGAAGAGATGCTCTGGGGCCAGGCTAGGAGGACTCTCGCACGCGGGATCGGGACCAGCTCCAGGTATTGTGGAAGCATGGGCACCACAAACCCACACAACTCGCCAACCATGCCTCTGCTGGCTAGCCGTCTCTCTCTCTCTCTCTTTCTCAGGGGGCCGGGAAGTGCCGGCTCCTTGCGGAACCCCTCGTTGTGGAAACCAATTGGGAAACACTGCCTTAACCAAACAAGTCTGATGCCAGGGCATTCCATCAAAACAAACTCCAAAGAGAAATTGTTATCAGCACAGAAAGAAACAGGTTTTTTTTTTTAGGGAGTTTGAGCTTCAGCTCAAAATGGTTCATTAACACATTCCAACAGCCCATCCTCCTGGCCTCTCTCACATTGGTGAAGGTCAGTTAACTTTCTAGTGTACGTGCAGAAGCAAGAAACTTAAATGGCTTCTGTTATATGATGTGCATGAAGTGGCTTCTAGTTAAATATGAAATGGTTTCTACAGTTTCTACACTGGGAATCCAAATGTTTGGCATCCTTGTCCTTAAATGCCCCAGAGTCTTTTCCCTCCTACTGGGTGACTGATACTCACTGGAGTTAGGACTTTCCGCCATCTGTTTCAATGGGGTGGCTACTGAATGCTGGGCCCCAAGAACTTACAGTCTGGCTAGAGATTGAGGGGGACTGAGGTTGTGTCTCATGCTGCTTCATCGGATGCCCATACATTTGGTCCCTTTATTGTCAGCTTCCAGGCTCTTCCCTCTTTCCTCCATGGAGCTTCAAGGAAGAAGCAGCAGAGCCAGGCTTAATAGTCAAGGCAGAGTTGCTGACTGGACCTCAACACACCTTTCCTCCTCTAGGCACATGGAGCAACAGCAGCTAGGACTGACAGCTCTGTGGTAAGGCTCAAAAGCCAGAGAAGAGTCAAAAGGAGGGGAGGACCCTGTTTAAATGTGGCCTGAGGACCTCCACAAAGATCCCAGACTATCTACTCCCCACTCCCAAATGTTCCCTCAGGCCACTCCCAGAGTGTTCTGTAGCGAGCATCACAAGGTGTTAGCCTGGGGTCAGCAACCTAAGGAACGCAAACCAATTTTCAGCTGCGCATAGGAGGGAGCTCAGACCCGCCCTTCTTCCCCCACACAGATGCTGGAGAGCGCTCCCTTCTCCCTGCAGCAGGTTAGGCTGATGTTGGATGAGGCGCTTCTGTGGTGGTTTTTTGCTTCTCACTTGTTTGGTCCCTAACAGATTTTTCTGTGGGGAAACCCAGGGCTTCCTCTTATGTGGGAAGGGTCATGGCTTTCATATCTTTCAGCTGGCTAATTGGTAGCACCTACAGGACTGTAACAAGGGGGAGGCAAGCAGGGCACTTGCCCCGGCACATCATATTCAGGGGCACAAATACAAAATACAGACAGTCCCCAACTTACAAACGAGTTATGTACCAAGCACTTGGTTGTAACTCGATGTGTTTGTAAGTGGGACCCCATTCATTTAAATGGGACCACACTGTTTGTAAGTGTGATCACTGTTTGTAAATTGGGGCAGCACTTAATGGGAGGTTGGTCATAAGTGCGGCTGGTGATATGTTGATGCATTTGTAAGTCTGGGACTACCTGTAAGTAAAACTAATAAGCTGCAAAAGTAAAGAATGCACTTCATCCTAAGTTAAGGAGATGGGGCACCAGTTGCCTCTGAGAACAACCCTGTCCCCACTCACAAGCACAAAGTGGGGAACAGAAAACGCAAGGGAAGACGCTTGTATTAATGTGGGGAAAGAGCACAAGCAGGATGCTTCCGAAAGCACCAGAAGCCAAACGCCCCAGAGAAACCTGGGCAGGGCCCTTTCACTTGGGTCCTTAAAGCCAGCCACCAACAGCTCTTGTGAGTCACCCTCCCTTCCCTGCCCCGCACTCACGCAGGTGGGCGGTTCCAGCATTCAGTCTGCTGCCGAGCTAAAGGCGCTGCAAGGAGAGACCAGGAACTAGCCTGGCAGGACCTTTCAGAGCAGAGCCGGGGAGCTACCCTGTGAGGGGCAATAGCTGCCCTCCAGCCCTGCCTTTGCATCCCACTGGGGTAACTCGCAGGGGCTGGCAGCATCTCCCGCTAGGACAAAGCCCAGCTCTTAGCCCGCCCCTCTCCGCCAGTCACTCTTTGCTCCTGCTCAGGCCCCGCCCTCCTCATTGCAATTGGCCCCTGGGTAGGGCCCGCAGTAGCGTCTAACTCCACGCGCGGGCGTAGGGAGGCAGCCTCGCCCATTGTGGTCACTGCGCATGCGCTGCGCGCACTGATGAGCGAATACTGAGAGAGCCGTTTGTGCGGTTACTCGTTCGCGCTACTGCTTCCGGTTCCGCGCCCGGAAGGGGGGAGCGGAGGAGCAGAGGTGAGGCGGGGAGACACCTGCTGGGGATCGGCGGGTGCGAGGGGGAGGGCCAGGTGGGGAGCTGGGGGTCAGATACTAAAAGGTGCCAAAACCAGCGCGCGGCCGGTCTCCGTGCGGTGGGGAACTTGCGCTTCAGCCGCAGCAGGGCGGCATCGCGCGGAACCTCTGGCCGGGCTGGAGAGACCCGCGTGCGGGTTTGGGGAGCAGCCTGTGCGCTGCTCAGGCACCGCCGAGACTCAGCGTTTGCCCGCACTGCAGCGCGGGGGCCGGCCGGGG